AAGACGACTATTTATAGCTGGTTTGCAGAATTCAAACGCGGTCGTGTGAATCTCAGTGACGAATATCGTGATAGTCGCCGGTCCATCGCCTTGAACAACAAAAACATCGATGCTGTGCGCCGTATGATCAAAACAGACAGGCATGCGATATACCATGAGATCGGGGCATCTTTAGGCCATAGACACAGTAACAAGTGACGAAACATGGATTTATAGTTACGATCTCAAAACAAAGCAGCAATCGAGCGTATGGGTCTTTCGAGTGGAGCCGAAACCAACCAAAGTGGGGCACATGAAAAGTGCCTCTAAGCTGATAATTGCTTCTTTTTTTAATAAAACTGGACACGTGGCTACTGTTACTTTGGAGAACCGTTGTACCGCGAATTGTGATTGACACGATATTTGTTTGCCGGAAGTTATTGACAAACTCCGTAAAAATAACCGTAAACGTCATATCATCTTGCACCACGATAATGCCAGTTCTCACACGGCCATACACGGTAACACAGACTAATGAATTTTTGAAGATGAACAACGTTGACCTTATGAGCCACCCCGCGTACAGTCCCGACCTTGTGACTTTTATTTATTTCCAAAAATTAGGAACCAGTTACGCGGTCAACGATTTTCATCACCTGAAGTGTACGTATGTCGAAGAGTATGAAAAATATGTTTCAGAGATTGTCACGGAGGAGTGGCATAAAAGTTTTCAAAATTGGTTCATTCGTATGAAAAAGCACATTAACGCTAACGGAGAATATTTTGAGAAACAATAAATGCATTTCTCACCATTTATAATATTTTATTCTTATTAATTCCGGAAACTTTTAGTGCACTTTTAGCACGTATTATTGACAAAAAACTGCCATTGAGATTGTTCTATTTATTTAAGGGTTACCTATCAGTAGATCGGACATAGATTAGGACGGATAGAGGTTGTATCGGACTACTGTCCGAAGTGACATTTTCCAGAAATAACCATTGCTCGAATTTTCATAACCTTGAAAGCAATTTCGATTAAGGAAAATGTTTTTTCTTTTAAATCTGACTTAACCTGACCTAACCGAACTTAATCGTGTCTTTACGATAAACATCCAACATATCCTGAAAGAACAACGGTTTCGTTATAATACGGTTTTCGGCGTAATGAAAATTCGGACAAACGTTATTTCGGAAAAAAAGTTCGAGTTTGTCATAGGTTGCCGTATTTAAGTTTGCATACTGTGGCCTGAAACCGTCTCCGAGAGGACATCCAATCATGACAATTGTAAGTGAGTTGCGCGCTTGGATATGTTTTCAGTTATAATGCCACGTTCATTGCACGCGGCTCCACACGTTGGTACGTTTACATAACATTCATGTGTTCTTTGGCATACGAGACTTTATTGCCACTTTGAAGGAAAACAGGGTGTATCTGTGATGAATTGTTGTTTTATCATTTAAACGAAGTATCGAGTAGCATGCTTCATTTGTGTTACCATTTTGTAACAAAATTACAAAGTCGCGTCATATTTCTGTAATGAACATAAATTTCATTTGTTCTGATACTAAAATGTTCTGTGATATTTTCACACAAAACAGTTTTTTGACGATGGTCATGTAGTGGCGTTTGTCTAACGAGGCACTGATTCTTTGGTTCACCATTCACCAAAGTAGGCAGAAAAGGAGTCGTATCTAAAGTACTGATTAAAATTTCGTTATTTTCACTAAGTGAGTAAGAAGGTCTACGTACAAATAACGAAAGCTTTTTGGATGTTTACCCATGTCTCTCTCCCTGCCAGTGGCGAGGCGCCCATGTAACTCCATTCCCACCTGCTAGCCTAAATTTTTCCACGTATATTCAAAAGCGACAGCGCGCAAATCCCACCACTTAAAAATTGTACATTCCAAATTTCAAATCATTCAATAATAAACGCGCGCGTATAGTCCTTGATTATACGATGTATTGTAGCTTGTACCTTGTAGCTTCCCGGTGGATATTAACCAATGACAGGACGAATAAGCCGCCATCGTCCCGGCATTTACTGCATTCATGAAATCAATTCGCTCACATCAAAATACACGCACACATTTGCAAAAAAAAACAGTGGAAACCGACCTAATAATGGCGGCCCACAACCTGAAGATTATCGGGTTATCATCGAATAGCGTTCACGTAAATTTACATCCTATTTCCACTCCATTGTGGTTAATTTTTAAACACCGATGACTTTGGCGATAATAGCCAACTTACAGGAAAAAAACTTAAAGTTAATTCCTGTAAGTTGCCAGCTATGATATGAATACAACTAAATTAGAAATATGATTTTAACTGTGCTTTGATCTGTGTCGTGAATTCTATTCAATTTATTGGGGTAATAATTTTTATGAAGGAATATATTTGTATTTCATTTTTACTCACGAGAATAAAAGAGACATAAGATCTCGGAACGCTTGACAACTGGACATTGTTGGAGTTTGATGTCCGCGTATTTAGTTATTACGATTAGGAAGTTGTTGTCTTGAAATTTGTAATTGTATTGTAATTAAAATGAAAAGAAATGGGACATAGTTTGAAATGCTAATTTGATGAAATGATGATGACGAAAGGTTAATTTCATAAGACAGTGAGTGTTGCGAGTTCGCCTTCAAATAAAAAACTTGCAGTGACTAGTGTCTCTGCAACCAATTAAAGACTTACGGCCGTTCTATATGTATGTACCTTTCAATTACGTCCCACAAACCTAGGTAACGGCTATCTATCCATCACATTCGATAGATAGAGTTCACTATCCGGCCCTCTCCTGCGTTTCGTTACTTCAAACGCCAGTAAAACAATATTGGCGTAAATGGTCTTTTTTCGCAAAAATTCTTTACAAGAATATGAACTATAACGAAATTTAAACCAGAAATTTCTTTACAAAAATATGAACTATAACGAAGATAGGTGGGAGTCCCCAATGTTGTGGCGGTGGATGCGTTTGCACACCGCTAGCTATTCACTGCTCTAACATTGGCTGGGCAGTTATCCTCCCGCCTATTAAACAAATTATTATTTAATTATTATTAGTATTGTCTTTATTTTTATTTTTATGTTTAAACTAACACTAGCTTAAGTACTTTTTATTAACAAATATTATGGATCACGTTGTCCGAGAATAAAATTATTATTATTATTATCATAGTATATTTTTGCTAATTGGCCTCATGATCACCATCCCAGTCGGATAATTCCATTAATAGCTCTAAATTGCTTTCACTTGAATAAGACATTTTTAAAACGATAAGAAGCTCCACGTGTATTTTATAAACATAAACAGGGCTTATCCAAACGCTTATCCCTGAAATTTGGACGATGCACAAACGATAGGCTAAGTTACTGACAGACAGCTGTCAAAACGATATAGGTACGCCTAACGTTCCGTTTTCATACAAAACCCTATCCCTAGTAACGGATAGATCCTCCCATCGATAGATAGCGTGGGTGGGTAAGACTCCTTATTCCCCGATAGGTTATTGAGACATTAAAACCAGATATAGATAGATTTTTCTATTTTTAGTATGCCTAAATGGGCGATAGATAGAATATTGGGAACGGCCGTTAAACAATATTGTAATCTCTAAATATTTTTGTGTTTATGTTTATAGATATGGGGAATTTAATAAACCCATTAAAACGCTCAAGATTCTGCTAATGCTGACCCAGCAGTCGACAATAACACACCGAAATGTTCAAAAAGGTAGGTATATGCAACTCAAAATTACGGATATTAGGTATTGAAGCTAATTACTTTTGGGTCGTTTATAAGTCATTTCACTCAACTTGACCTATTCTTATTGGTGTTGGTGGCTTGTTTTTCTATTGTATAGAAGGAATTAAAACTTAAATGGTTTTTTTTTTGTAGGTTTAAAATTGAGGAGTGATTTATGAAAAATAAAATGGAGTGATTTAAAAATTAAAGTAATTTCATTACAAATCTTATATTATAAAAATAACAAATTTACGCGTAAACTCATACTCTCGCAAGCCAAACGTCGAGTGACAACTACAGAATTTGTGTTAGTGAATTCTTTCGAAGGTGAAATTTCAAACATACACTTGCAAAAGCCCTTGTAATGCGCTTCGAAACATTTTACGCTGTGTTGTGGTTTGGAAAACAATTTGGAAAACAAATTTTTCTGCATTTATGACGGAAAAATAGACTCCCGAATTCTGTTGTTGTAATAACGGTTTTAACGCTAACGCGGTCGATGCATTTGTTGCGACGAAAACTGTACTCAGAGTTACGTAAAGACCGTAGACGTTAGTGCACAAACATGTGCATTCGTGTTATTATAATTAGTAGTTGCAATTAAAACTGCAAAATTTGCTTCACCATCGCGTATCGAAAATTTGTTTTTAAATTTTTAAAGTAATTTACTACATTTGGCACTGAATTTAACAGTACAAAACAATAAGTAGGTATATAAACTATAAATATGTAGTAACTTTTATGCTAATAAGTGTTGTGTTTAAGTGTTGCCAAGACGTCTTTTAAACGGGAAAAGAAGTTTTTGTGCTTTTGGTTTTGCTCCGGCTTTATTAACGACAATTTTCACGACTCACCACTGCTCCTTACTGTGATGGAGATATAAAGGTCCATTAAGATTATCATATACAAGAACCGATTCACTTTTCAACGTAGTCTCGTTCCTTGGACAGTGGACCATAACATATCATGTCACATGTCACCTTTAAGTCTACGTTTTTGCATCGATTTTTTTAAGAGCTTTAGTGTATTTTCTTTTTATTCTCATTCGAATGAGATTCGTGTTTTTATCATATAAATCTTATGTACTATAGTAGGTGTGTGCATGATTAGGGGTAAGTATATATATGTATATAGGTATAGCAGATGTGTGTATAGGTATATGAAGTTAGTGAATAAATTTGATTAGACTCATCGATTGGATTAAATTGGGACAGCAGTAAAAAAGTACTATAACAGTACGTTGTAAGTCCCATTTTGTGTTGGCCTCACCTTTTAGTATAATTGCATTTAACAGCGACCACAATGAGCAGCACATTTGCTACCAAGGACAGGACAATCAGCGGCACGTACAGAGCGATCAGCACATGCTCGGGCTGAAACAGAATGTCGAGGTCTGCGGGGATCTGAAACGTCTCGTTGGAGTACGCGCTAGTGTTGAACCCCTCCGAAGGGTAGCTCGTTGATGCATTTGAATACATTGTCACTTTTTATTCATCTTACGCTTTATTACGATATCATTTTAGCATTTATTTTAATTTTAAATCATCTCGAGTAAATCTCTCTTCGTTTTTTAGTAAAGTTCTTTTTTTTTAATTTTTCATACGCATTTTTTTGTAAATGCACGTTTTTTTATCACCTAATCGTGGTTGATTAACACGTTATTTATCGCGTTCTTTTTCGTCACCAACAGCACAACTTTTAATCACCACAAGGCGCAGGCAAAAATGTTACATCCACGTGAACAGTCATCCACTTTGTATAAATATTTTTTAACACGAAACATATTATATTTACAAAGTAAACATCCAACGTCTTAAAAATGATTTCCACCATAAATACAATACAAAACAAATATCACGTCCATTGTTTGTTTAAACTTTTCAAAACACATCGCACGAAGGTTTTACAAAAATAGACTGACATTTTTTCCACTGTAATGGGCAATTCATCATGAAAACATTGAATGTTAAAAACTTTTAAATTTTCCGCTAGTAACTTTGCTCGTTCGAAATTTTAGCACAATTTCGCTAACGTCTGCGTTGTGAAAAGCTCCGAAAGCGACTGATCGAAGCTTTAGAAGCTTCAAAGATTTTGAAGCTCGGGAGCTTTTCTCGTCGACTGTAACAGTCATTTTAAATAAAATCGAAATTCATCAATGTACTGAACAACTATGTACATAATTATGTGCAGATTGTTATTTGCCTTACAGTTTGTTTTTTAATTTTACGATATTTTAGCTAAATTTGTATGTTTTATGTGGAACTGGTGTTTTATGTATGTATGTATGCGGTATTTTTAATACTGTCTATCTGTCTACCCCCTGTCACAACAAAGAACAATTGTTCTACACTGTAATTAAGTTATGTTTATTAAATTAAAAACACTTATATTGAAAATCATTCCAGGTTGTTATTTTTATTTATTTATTTGAATTTAAAAAATGGGGTACAATATATTTAAACAAACATAGTCCTACAAAACTGTATGTACGGTTTGACTGCAGGATCGAAACGAGTCTCAATTAAGCAAAAAGTTACAAACTGACACTAATGTTGTTAGAAATACTTAAACAATATAATTACTATCTATTCTACAATAATTTGTGAAATAATGATATTTCAACATTTTTTTAAATTTAATTTTTTTTTAGTTGCATGTCTAATAAGCTCTGGCAAGCGTTTAATATGTATGGAATACGTTTCTTTAAAGTCCTACCTCCATAATACTTAGTTACTCTTGGGATTACAAATTTACCAGAGGTCATCGACCTTGTATTATAGTTGTTACCAACCGTACACAACAACGAGTCACGCACCTCTGCGCTATGGTTATTGACAGCCAGAAGATATTTATGTTGCAAACTAAGCGGCATAGTTTAGTATGGAGTCCACCAATACCATATACAAACATTTTAACGCGATGGCCGGCACTTTGAAACTTAAGTGATGGAATTTACCCAACAGTATTCTTAACTTGTTACAAATAAAATCTATGTGAGTGGCCCAAGACAAATGTTCATCTACTTTGAGACCGAGATAAGTAACACACTTTTCTCTTTCTATTGCCTTGCATCTAAATATATGTAATTCGTATGTGTTGTATTGTTAACAGTTCTGATAAAATGAACCTTAGTACACAGTACAAAATGTCGCGTGGTTTTGAAAGATAGCAGGCAGTTTCGACACATCTAAAGCAGTTTCATTAGTTTTACATAAAAGAGGCTATTTTTGTGGAAAAAGAGAGAAGAATCACTTTGCAGCATAATTTCAGTACAGAGTACTAAAAAAACCGATCTCAAAAGTACGTGGCATTACGTCTATTTGCTAAGTTTTATTGAAATATCCTTAAATCCACCACTATACAGGACTTGACACTGGAGATAATAAAAAATCGGTTCTCACTACTCAAAGAATATTGAGAGAAAAACGCCTTGAATTGGAGAAATAGCAAAACCGACCATTAAAATAATTGCTCCTTAAGAAAATTTAGGCGCTATTTATAAAAATGAATCTTCATGCGTGAACAGCCACCCTTATAGGTGGATGATTTCCTTCAAAATGAAATGGGACCACTATGGAAGTACCCCCTTTCCAACGAAAAAAGAATCATGAAAATCGGTTCATAAATACCGGAGTTATCGCGTAACATACATACAAAAAAAAAACTCCTCCTTTTTTTAAAGTCGGTTAAAAATAGCGTTTAGATTAGTAAGTTACGACGTTTACTATCGCATTACTTATTAGACGAAAAATGTCACCAAAATACCGTTAGTTGTCACTCGGAATAAGTCCATAATAATTATTGTCATGTTAAATAAGCGCGCCGACCGCATAGCGCGCACCTCCTTTGCCGCTATTTAGATTTCTAATTATAAACCCTTAGACAACCCCCTGTACGTAGTCGCACCGCGTGCACCGCATTTAATCAATTAAGTAGCAACCGCTGACGAATACCGCAAAAAGATGCGCCCACTTTCTGGCCATGTCAAACGAATTGGTTTTACATCGTGAAGCGATTCCGTACGTTAAAATTAACTCGAATTAAGCTTAAAGACACACGATATATTCGCTACAAATGTTTAGATATAAAATAAAACGTAAACGTACAGTACCTATGCCTACGCAAATTTGAAAATCACAAAATCTAGTTTTGCATGATTGTTTTTCGGAGGAACATTTAAGCATACCTGATGTAAAATAATGTCGGTTTTATCAGGCGAATTAAGTTTGTACGAATGTAAATAAAAAATCTTGTGCTTAATTATTTTGATATGATACCTACAGTTGAGGCACCGGTGGAGAAGCGGAAAAAAATGCTTTGTTAAATCAAAATGGTTTACTATTAAATAGGTATTCACTATTATATATCGGTCTTACAAAAATATACGATACACCTAAGGATATTGTCTAAAGAATGTGTTAATGTGTTACACGATAGGATGTACTTTATTGTATAATATAATATTCTGAAAACAGGCTCAAATAAAAGTGTAAAGGGACCGCCCACACCTCACCTCCTAAAATCTAGTCTCGCGTTGAAATATCTCACCTTAATAATCTCCTATTAAGGTGAGATATCTTGAATCGTTCAAATTTGGTATATGGTACTTTTTATGGCAATTAGGTACAAAAACACTATATTACTTATTGGAGCATTGTCGGAGGGTAAGCAGCGCGTTATTAATAAAATTTTCAGTCTCACAGACTTCACAATTCCACAAAAACCAACAGAATTCACATCACCTAATGTTTTATTCAATCACTTCTATTCTCGTCGAATCCGTGTGATCGAGCAGTTTTGTCGGGTCGGGCGCCGTTTCGATGTCGGGCGCGCGGACGTTTGTTGGTTTAACGTGAAAAGTTTGCTTTTTATACGAGCGCCATTGTTACCGCGATTGATCTCTTTCGTTCGTTACGTTACGGTCCAAATTTCTACCATGACACCCGACATTCCTAAAACGTTATGTTCTTCTTATAAAGAATACCATTTCGAAATTACAACGAACTTTCAATAAAATCAAATATTCAATTATTTTCGAAAGCGTTGTCCTGCAATGAATACGTATTACAGTCAAATTGAACAATGGCAGCAAAAATTGGACGCAGTAGGTGAGGTTGGCGTATTTGCAAGGTTTTACTAGAAAATTGGCGCTCTTAGCCTCAGTGGTTTTTTGTAGGAGAAATTATACTTCGTGTCTCTCCCGAAAATGATTACCATTACGTCCATGCAGCAGCACGCCATGATGGTGCTGTGCTAATTACACTTTTAGATTTATTAAATTACTTACTTAAAACTATTTTAAAAACTTAAGTTTAATCTAATTTCTAACCCTGCATGTATACATATATATACTTTTTTGAAAGCATTCTTCAGTCGTGTTTTTACAGTTACTCAAATCACTCACACTCATATGCAACATAACAGTTGTTTTATGTGTCCGTTTGCGTGATACAACCCCGAGATGAGACCACGATTATATCCCCGTTTAAATTCCAGTTCTCGTTTTTGTGGTGCGGTCGGCGCGCTTATATCAACGGACCTCTTTGAGCAAACGACATTAATATAACGAAAGGAAAGGGAACAAAAATAATTTAGCAAGTTAAAGGCCGGAATCCGAGATACTAATCAATTTATATTTTGCTAAAAGTATAATGATGGTCGGACGGATGGTCGGACAAAATGTAGAATAGTAATATTATATACTATATATATATATATAACACAATTACGAGATTATATATATATATATATATATATATATATAATATATATATATATATAGTATATAAGCCCATCTACGTTTAATGTTGTATTCGGCTCCTCGTCGTCGTATGAGATGGTGGATGACGTCACAGCGATCCTCTGCACTTATGCACTACCTACTGTTTATAGTTCCAAAGTGTCTACTTTCACTATCCGTCACAAGCCGACACCAAAGCGACACAAAACAGTCAATAATAAAAATATCAATGTTAGGCTTTGTCGCGGAAGTGCACATAGAAAAAGCACCCGTCCGAGCACGTAGTCGAGGCAGTTCTAGCGGACGGCCTCTCGAATGAATATTAGAAAAATGCAGGTGAAATTATATCGCGATCCGGCAACGTATTATAAAACTACCCACGTTTTGTCCGAATGCAAAATAATGAAAGATTGTTTATATATATACCTACGAACAGGTACTACCAACAGAATTCTGTGTATCCGGAACAAATATCTGTGAAGCCGTTTTTTGCTCTAGCAGCGGGGGTTATTCAAAGCTCAAAATACGCGAGTTGAATAGAATACTCGCGTCGACCCCCCCGCAGGAATTGATGGAACGTTTTATTGCTTTAGAAATGTCGTCTCGTAATTGTGTTATACTGGAAACGATTTCAAGAGTTTCATATAGGTCCATCTGCTGCACACGGAGTAAAGCGCTCTTAGAGCTTTTGGATATTTTAGATATTTTTTTAATCATAATATTTTTATTATTATTATC